TTATATAATATATATAGATATATATATATATATATATATTATATAATATAATAATATATTATATATATATAATATATTATGTGTGTGTAACATTTGTCCAACTTTCGTTATCCCAGGGCCCGACATAGATTGTTTTGTCGGAAAAATCGACGAAGTGCTGCCGCATTTTTGCTATATCTTCCTCTTTACTACGTAACATAGGAGGCGAAAAAGTAAAATTGATAAATTAAACTTCAGGGGGGAAAGATGACGAGGGCTTGTTCAGCAGAGTGAACGAACATCGTTTTCATCGCCATGTCATGTGAGTGCGTTATTTCTACAGCATATTTTGTTCTGTTCTTTTTGTCTGCTGGCTTTTCATAGTAGAAAAACGGCGGGAAAAATCGAAAAATGGAAAATAACCCCATTTCCAATTTTTTAAAATTCTTTTTGGAGATTCCAATATTTTCCTCTTCTTCCTTCACTCATTTCCATCATTTGAAGTTCGGAAAACACACTTTAATTGTTCGTGATAATATAAGTTGGTTGATTTTACGGAAACGTTAGGGCATTATAAGTTGAAACACTAGGGTGTCCCTTATTTTTTTTTAGATATTTTTGAAACGATCACCGTCCAGTTTTCGTTTCAAATGACTTAAAACATGTCATACAAAATTTAGTGAGATCTGAGCATTCTAAACTGTGCCGGACTTCAGGCGCGAAATTAGCAAGACGATAAATCACACCAACCACACACTGCGAAGTCAGGCCGAGACTAATAGTACATTTGAATTTTATCAGTGGAATTCGTGTCACACGTGTTTTACGGGTCGCTAATTCAAAACCACTATGTCATGGTGTTAGTGTCACTATGCAGTGCCGGACGGTACATGGTTTTTAATAGGAGATAATAGATATATACACGTATTATATTATTATTTTATTATTATCATTATTATTATTATTATTGGCATATATCATTGGGCCATTATGACCACCTACACGATTAACGTGTGTAATTCTTCCAGATTCAGCATATTCAGCTGATATCTTGGATTACAAAACAAGTTGTTACGCCTTGTAGGTGTGACTTATTGCAGATGATAAGGATGATGTAGGATGATGAAGGGAAGGGGACACTAATGGATTGAATATAGGTGATAGCATATTCATGAAAGGTGATCGTGGATCTTTTGAACCATCCAGCATTTCGCATTATGACCGAGGGAAACCACGTAACCCTTGGTCGGATGGCCGGCCCGGGAATCGAACGGACCTCCATTTACGAAGTAAGCGCGCTACGCACTGAGCTCGGTACTTTATACATATATTTTACACACACACACACAAACACACACACACACAAACACACACACCACACAAACACACACACCACCAACAAACACACAAACACACAAACACACACAAACACACACCAACACAAAACACACACAAAACACACACACACACCAACACACACACACAAACACACACACAAACACACAAACACACACACCAACACACACACACCAACACAACACACACACAAAACACAACCACACACACACAAAAACCACACACACATAAACCACACACACAAACACACACACACAAACACACACACACCCTGTGTAGTGTTGCCGGTTTTTTTGCAGAATAGCGCCACGGGACCTTCCGCCTGTCGTAAAAGGCGACTTACAAAGGAGGCAGCTGTCCGCTTGTCCTTCCCACCTAATATCCTACTTTCCCACCTTAGTTTCCTCCCATCCCACAAGATCCAATAGGATGGATGAGTGGGCTTATGGATCTTGCTCCCTATCCTACGAAAATTCCCTCTGCACCTTATTTTCCCCATATCCACTCTCTGCTGGCGGTAGCATATAAAACGCTAACGGAAGGTACCGAAAAGTTAAACAGTGATGGGTATGAGTGAGCCTCAAAAAACTTACACCCAAGCGGGAGTCGAGCGTTTGACGCGAATCTGCCACCGATTCTGATCGGGTGGAAGCCCTGAGAGTGCGGCTCCATGGATTTTGGGGGGGAGCCAAGCTCACAAGTAGTGTCTGGAAGAGAATAGGAGAGTTGAATGTTCTGGACGTTGGAAGAAGATCGGGGATCTCCTGCATTTTGTGCATGCCAAGGAATGAATGTCCACAGGGAGATAAAGCGTATGGTCAGTCATCCGATCTGACTTTGAATGAGATGGTGGACATGGAGGATCACTATCTGTAATTAGCTCGAAGACAGTTGAGGCGGAGGACGCAGACTTTCACTCAAGACATGGGGTGTCGAGGTCCGAATACCGATGGTTATGGGAGGGCCCTCGGACAGCCAGCAGCGGAGGTGCAGCCTACGGGGAACGAGCGTAATTGGCGCAAGACTGTGAGGCGCGGAACACGGACTCAGCCGCTGACGTGGGAGTGTTGGCCGGAATTCTTGATGCTCGTGGTTAGGTCCTCGGGCGGCCGAGTGCGAACCGCAGTTAATGATTGTGATTTGCGCTGAGGACGGTGGAGGTGGAGACGCAGGTTTCACCCCAGAACTTCTGATATTGGCCCGAATGCTAGATGATTGTGTGGGCCCTTGGACAGCGGGCGGCGGCGTTGCGGCACAAGTAGGCGAATGTGCGCGAACTTCGTCCGAGGAAAGGAGAGACCGCTGGAAATCTACGGGAGTGGCAGAGAAGAGCTATCAAGTCGGCTGCAGCGGAAGGAACATTCAACATGCTGAAGTTCCTCAGGCAACTGCACAAACCGTCTGATGAGACACCACACCCAAAATCATGAGCGATGGATTGCATGTCGTAGGGAGGGAAAGACGGAGGCCGCCGAAGCGCCCACTCTTATCGACCCCGAACTCGTTATTGTTAGGCAAATGAACCGAGGCCCTCCTAAGGCCAGATCAAGGGGAGCGACCCATCTCGAAAGATGCTGGTGAGAACGTCGCAAAGGTGAGGAGGAATGCAGCCCGAATACCTGCTGCTGGAGTTGGGCGGAAATCTGCAGCAGCCTCCGAGATATCTGAAAGCTATTATCCAAAACAACTGGGCGAGTTCGCAAGGTAACGACGCGGACGAGGACGAAACGACTCTTGCGAGGATTACGCGATATCTTGACGAGCTGACAACGGCTGGCTGAAGTCTTGTGAAGCTGTAAGCAGGAACTAAATCACTGTTGAGCTAGCAAGTGTCAATCCCGTACGGAGGGTTACAGAGGCACACAGAACTGCAGTGGTCCGTTACAGACGGAAACTAGCCAGGAGGGCATGAGGAGCGGCCGTGTCGCATGGGGGGTAACTGCCGCGTTAGAGAGAAAAGTATTTGCGGAAGTGTTAT